GTTAAATGTGTGTGAACACTCATGTTGTGAAACCAGGAAGTGACCTATGGAGGCAATGAGATGCCTATTTCTCCACCTTTATAAGCATTTAGCTGTTGCTCTACTACAACAAATATGTTCAATTCCTCTTTCCTACTGAGCTGTCAATATTCTTTCTCCTCTCCAGTACTCTTCAGGCATTCAATATTTGTGTGAACATAGCATGGGTGTGTGGAGGGGTGAGTCAGCTGTGTCCATCATATCTATTCCGTCCGCCATCCAAATTCCTGAAGTAGGGCACTTTCTGTACTTATGGGACCTCTTAGCATTTATTTTTCCCCTTCAGATTTTGTGTACCCGAGTCAGCTGATCTCCCTCTCTCATGTATAGGTGGTGTGGTTTTCGCTATGTAAACATGGTAAAGGTAAAGGACCCCTGACTGTTAAGTCCAGTCGCGAACGACTCTGGGGTTGCGGCGCTCATCTTGCTTTACTGGCTGAAGGAGCTAACATTTGTCCGCAGACAGTTTTTCTGAGTCATGTGGCCAGCATGACTAAGCCGCTTCTGGCGAAGCCAGAGCAGCACATGGAAACGCTGTTTACCTATTTATCTACTTGCACTTGCTTTCGAACTGCTAGGTTGGCAGGAGCTGGGACTGAACAACGGGAGCTCACCCTGTCATGGGGATTCTAACCGCCTACCTTCCGATCAGCAAGCCCTAGGCTCAGTGGTTTAGACCACAGCTCCACCCGGGTCCCTTATGTAAACATGGGCATAGCCTCAAATCTGTATTGGTAGGTAGATCTCTATTGCAGATCACTCTTTTTTGTTGTTTTTAATGCTCCTCCTCCTGTGCTTTTAAACAGCAAATCATAATACTTTCTTTGTAGAAAATGATGCTTCCTATTTCCATGCATGCAAAGCCTCTCCTTACTGCTTTGGTTTATTTGTTTTGCATAGCAAATTGTTAAAGCCAGAGGGGGAGGAGGGCAGGCTGGTTTTGTTGCATTTCTGGTCAGTTGACAACATCAGTGTGCAGTGCCTGCAAGGTGAAAACATTTTACTTCAAGGTTACCTCATATCAGCCAAATTTTCCAGACATCAGTTACTAGAAACAACCTGCATAGCCTCTGACCTTTTTACATACTCTCACTGAGGAATTCAAATGATGTACACATCTTCCCTGAGCAGATAGCAGAACAAAGACAAAATCTCATTCCAATATTCCCCTCCGTGAAGAGCAAATGTGTAGCGACAGAAACAGGACTGCCCTGTCCCTGATGTTCCTGTGCCCCACTGATGCAACTCCAAAATCCCAAAGTCTGAAAACGGGCATCTGCATTCATGTATCCATTCACTGAATGCCTTGCTGAATGAAGAAGGTTCAAGAGACTGCACATCTGTGCCTTTTCATTTTCATTTCATTCCATTCATCATCCTTCTTACTGCTAAGCTTGGCAGTATCATTAAGGCCCTTCTTTACATTGGTGTTCAGTGTTTTGTTGTGTTCTGGAACAGTGAATGAGGTGTGTATTGTCCCTCTCGAGAGCAGCTGAGCCTTGAGATAGGATGACCATATGTCCTATTTTACAGAGGAGAGTCCTCTGTTTGACTGACTGCCTTGGTCCTAGTCCACATTAAGGATGTAGCACCCTAAGAAGGGAATTTGGGGGACCTGAAGATGGCCATCAGCAGTTTGCATTGGGGCAGCAAAGTGAGGGCAGCATTCAATTAAAGTTACGCTAGTGCAACTCTTTAGCTGCACAATGTCATTTTCCTGCTGTCTCCTCTCCCCACCTGTCCCTGAAACCTGCTCTGTCTGTTCCCCCAACCCTCCAGAGCAGATTGGGGGGAGGAGAAGGTGGGAAAGTCAAACTGCACAACTTAAATCTGCTGAGCTAGCACAACTCCTGTAGTTGAATATTGCTCTGAGCAGCCCCACAAGGTCACTTGGTTATGGTCCTTCCTTGCTGTGAGGAGAAAGAGAGAGAGAATGAGAGGGGAGAGAGGGGGTTATTGCAGTGCTTGCTGATATGGAGTACTGACACCTCTTCTTTTGCCACCCATGGCAGCCACTTTGTGCTGATACCCATGCCATTTTTGTCAATATATGATTGCTGGCAACACTATCTGTCCAATATACAGTACATTATCACCTTGCCAACAAAGGTCCATATAGTTAAAGCTATGGTTTTCCCAGTAGTGATGTATGGAAGTGAGAGCTGGACCATAAAGAAGGCTGATCGCCGAAGAATTGATGCTTTTGAATTATGGTGCTGGAGGAGATTCTTGAGAATCCCATGGACTGCAAGAAGATCAAACCTATCCATTCTGAAGGAAATCAGCCCTGAATGCTCACTGGAAGGACAGATCCTGAAGCTGACACTCCAGTACTTTGGCCACCTCATGAGAAGAGAAGACTCCCTGGAAAAGACCCTGATGTTGGGAAAGATGGAGGGCACAAGGAGAAGGGGATGACAGAGGATGAGATGGTTGGACAGTGTTCTCGAAGCTACCAGCATGAGATTGACCAAACTGCGGGAGGCAGTGGAAGACAGGAATGCCTGGCGTGCTCTGGTCCATGGGGTCACAAAGAGTTGGACACGACTAAATGACTAAACAACAACAACAACAGATATACATATAAAGTAGCACATGTAATTTTTATGCAAAAATTTGCCCTATTTTTTGTGATGTATTTCTTCTCTTTGTCCAGGCATAGCCAAACTCGGCCCTCCAGATGTTTTGGGACTACAACTCCCATCATACCTAGCTAACAGGACCAGTGATCAGGGATGATGGGAACTGTAGTCTCAAAACATCTGGAGGGCCGAGTTTGCCTATGCCTGTCTTTGTCAGTACATAACTGGACACCTTGTCTTTAGATTCCCCGCCTTCCTTTCTTCCCATAAATGAGAAGAAACCCTGCAGCAAGTCTGTGTGAAAAGCCCTTCCAGGAATCTGTAACTAACTATTTAATAAATGTATCCTATGACCCACACCAGTATGGGCATGAATGAATATTCAGGTTTCAACAGATTACACAGGTATAAGGAAATAAGCTGTACACTGATGGAACTTAACAGTTAGAGCTGAAGGCAACCAGCCACATATTGAGCACTCTGGATACAAATTGAGCCCACAATAATATAGACTTTTTACGTCATTTCTGTATCTTGGCTGACCACTTAGATTGCTACATTCTTTCCCAATCTTCCTTTTCAGACTATTGCTTGTATTGGATGCATAACACAAAAATGGGGGGGGGGAGAAAGAAAGAGAGGGAGTTAAACATGAGAAAAATGATTTAACAAAATAACAAAACGAAGTGTTCTTCCAAGAAGTATTTTTAATCCTACATTGTATACATATATGAAACACATTACAAAGAATTTGGGGGTGCCACTAAAAATGGCAACCTCAGGTTAGCTTCCCTGAGCTGTAAAGAAACTCACTTATTACAGTCCTTGGGATACCATACGTTAGGAACAAATGAGGAGAACCATGTGTACCTTGTTGAGCTCCTTGGAGGAAAAAGTGGAATATAAATGTGACAAATAAAGCAAACAAACAACCCCTATTGTAGGCTTGTTTTCACCCTGCCGATGCTGGTAGCCCCACACATACTGTAAGTTACGCAAGTGTAAATTACGCTGGCTTTCTAGTTTGCATTGCTCTTCCTGAAGAAAGGCAGCTTCCTACAGAAAATGAACATTTTGTTCATATGAGAACAAAAAGGAACACATTGGCCAAAGTAATAAAAGCTGGCAGTAAGGTACACAATACTCAATATAATAGATGCATTATACAAATACTGTGGTTATGTCATCATTATATACACAGTACACCCTGCTTAAGCACTCAATATCTGAACTGCACTTATTCTGGCAATTGGCAAACCAAGTTACATAGCTATAATAATACATCATACAAACAATATCAGGAAAGTATACATTTTTGAAAACAGTTTATTGTAATGGATGATCCAACCCTGTTTAAATTAACATCTGTACTGAGTATATAGAGACGTGGGTGGCGCTGTGGGTTAAACCACAGAGTCTAGGGCTTGCCGATCAGAAGGTCAGTGGTTCGAATCCCCGCAGCAGGATGAACACCCGCTGCTCTGTCCCAGCTCCTGCCAGCCTAGCAGTTCAAAAGCACATCAAAAGTGCAAGTAGATAAATAGGTACCACTCCTGCGGGAAGGTAAACGGCGTTTCTGTGTGCTACTCTGGTTTGCCAGAAGCGGCTTAGTCATGCTGGCCACATGACCCGGAAGCTGTACGCCGGCTCCCTCGGCCAATAAAGCGAGATGAGCGCCGCAACCCCAGAGTCGTCTGTGACTGGACCTAATAGTCAGGGGTCCCTTTACCTTTACTGAGTATATATTATGGTTGGATGCCACAGTATTTGTTTGTTGACGTCTGTGTTTCATTATGTCTTTGTACTGGTGTTGTAACTCTACAAGTATTATTCTGGAAATGATTTTACATAAGCTTTTCTGTTGAAAAATAATTTATTTTAGAATAATAGGAACAACAGCCGTCTCTCTAGCCAACTGCTTTGTTTTTGGTTTCTCTCTCCCTATGGCCCTCTCTTGTTCTGTTCACTTCACTTTTCACTTACATACTGCTGCTCTTCATCTGAAGATCACATAAAAATACCCCACCCCTCAAAAAGGTAGGAGCAAACTAGATAGACAAATCACTCTTTATTTGCAGACCTAGCGGCTGAGCGAAATCTCCATTCCGAAGGCGCGTATTTGGCATGGAAAATAAAAAGCCAAGCCCCCAGACCTCATGGCACGTGGCTCCCTCTCCATAGCCTTTGCAAGGCACAACCTAGTTTTCAGTTCCTTTAAATCTAAACCCCGCTTAGCCCCCGGAGACGGGCGGGCAAGTGAAGGTGTTCTGAGCAGGGGCGCTCCCAGGTACAAATTCCCCCACTTGTGGGCGTCGGCCGGGGTTGCGGTTCCACTTCCTCCTCGCCAGAGGCTGCTCGCTTTGCTCTCGCCGCTGCTGACGTCGCCGCTCCCGGCCGACCCCCGCCCCTTCCCGGAGCCCCGATCTCGCTTTTATCCCCACCCCGAGGTCCGCCCTGCCAGTCCAGAGCAGCTGGGAGACGATTTGTTAGGCAACAGCGCGAGGCGATCAGCTGCGAAGGGACGCGTCCGGCGCGCGAGGCTGCTAATCCAGGTACGTCAGGCGCTTCCTGCGTTAGAGACGCTGGACTGAATAAAGACAGGAGCGCGGGGCAGGCAGAGAGAATTACGGCCGCTTAAGAAAAGACGCGACGCCTACCCATCCTCGGGTGCTGTTCACTCGTGGGCGGGCAGCCCCACAGGTGTGCGGCTGCGGCTAAACCCGGGGAATTGTTCTAGGGGGAAACTGCGGGGAGACGAGAGCTGCGTAGTGGTTTCGCTTTCGTTTCCGACGGGCTTGCTCTCCGTGTTCTTGGCGGAGGTCGTTTTGCAGCTCTGGTCTTAGTGGTCCTCTTTCTGTCGTCCTTCTTTCTTCCTGCTTCAAATGGGCCTCTCGTTCGACAGGGATGTGTATTTCTTCCCTTCCCTCGGTAAAGATGTTTGTTCCTGTGCGGCTAGGTAGTGCTGTTTTTGACGGGGGCGCGTTCTGCCCTGATAGCACCGCTATGAGGATCTTAATTTCAGGGTCGAGGGTTCGAGCCTCATATTGGACAAGGAGTTGGACTAGATGACTCGTGGGATCCCTTCCAACACTACAATGCTATGATTCTACGTAACACTCCCCCTCCCGCTGCCATCTTTCATTTTGGCAGCCTTTGCAAGTCTCCACCTGTGACCTGTGTCCGTCTGAACTGCAGCTGTATTGATGTATTCCTTTGCCTTTCTTCCAAAGATCTCATGGCCCTGCTAATGGTTCAAAATGTAAATGGTTCACCCTCCATTTTATCATCACAACAACCAGTGCTATTTTTCTAGAAAAAGAGGTGTCGGTACTCAGTATGAACGCCTCCTTTGCTCTCTTAAAATGGCAATGGCGCCCACCTGAGAGGTGCCGGAACTGAGTTCTGGATAAAAGAAAGAAAGAAAACAACCTTGCAAGGTAGGTTAGGCTGAGAAGCGGTGATTGGCCCAAGGTAACCCAGGGAGCTTCGTGGCTGTGTGGATTTGAACCTAAGTCTGGAGTCTAACCACCACCTTTGTGTTATCCCTCACCATTGGTCACGCTGGTTGGGGCTAATGGGAGTTGCAGTCCATCAACAGCTGGAGTGCTACAGGTTCCTCATCCCTGCTCTACACCTTCAAATGCATTGAAACCGCTTTCAGAACTTCTGTTGAAATTGCCAAGATCAGGAGGGGGTGGGCAGTGAGTACGATCCTGCTCTGCCCTTGACCTGTTCACCCCAATGGTGGGTGGTGGCGACACATGTGGTGCACACCAATCCCACTCCTAACCTGCATGGGGGCTTTTTGGAGAAGCTTTGACACCTGTATGCAGATAGGAACAAATATCTTTCAGACATTGCGCTGAACATGAAGAAGTCGGGGTGGAAAATCTTGACAAGTCACAAGAGGTTGTGAGATGCCTTCCAAATTGGACAGTATTCATAATTTTTCTATACCACTTCATCATTGCACATTCTCTGCTTATTAGCCCTGTCTTGTGCAGTAGGGTTCTCCTATCCTTTGAGTGGTTCACGAGGCCACAGGGAAGTTGGGAAAGTAGGAAACTTGTCTGCTATGGACTTGCAAAGTTAACTAACCTTAGGATCTAAGTCACCTACTTGCTGATTTCTGCCCAGACACTGAGGTCCAGCGCCGAGGGCCTTCTGGTGGTTCCCTCACTGCGAGAAGCTAAGCTACAGGGAACCAGGCAGAGGGCCTTCTCGGTAGTGGCGCCCGCCCTATGGTACACCCTCCCAGCAAATGTCAAAGAGATAAACAACTACCTGACATTTAGAAGACCTCTGAAGGCAGCCCTGTTCAGGGAAGTTTTTAATGTGTGACATTTTAATGTATTTTTAATCTTTGTTGGAAGCCTCCAAGAGTGGCTGGGGAAACCCAGCCAGATGGGCGGGGTACAAATAATAAATTACTATTACTATTACCACAGTTGTAGGGTTTTTCTAGTTGGTGAATATTGCAGATTTTGTAGTTGCAACAGCCCTACAGCAAAATCAGCATCATGATAGCTTGTGTTCATAGAATTAGGCTGATGTGGTCAGCCTTGTTGCTGTCCTTGAAATCTCCCTCCCTCCCTAAATGCAGTCTAGATGAGAGTTGCCTTAGTAGCACTGACGTAATTGATGCCAGGAATTGATGCCAGCAAAGCGTGGGGAAGGCTGAAGAGTTCAAAAAAGAACTGGAAAAAATACTCCCTTTCACCTTTTGACCTATATCTTGCATCAGTGTTCCTTGGTTCATTGTACAATGTAGGAAATGCTTTCTGTCATTTAAGTAAAAGGAAGGAAAACTAGCAGAAAGTATTTCCTACATTGTACAAAGAAAAAGGTGACGCAATTTCTAAACTTCGTGTAATCTAGATCATGTTAGTGTGAAACACACTTTTGCTCTGCTTTGGTTTTCTAGAGCAAAACAGAACAAATTAGGCAGATCCCGCCCCCCCCCCCTTTCACTGATATATAATCTTAGATTGCATGATCAATAATTGCCCAGTGTTTTGTAGCCTGGAGAAAAGTTGGAAGTCAGTTTTAGGCATCCATGTGCAAGTGGGAACTTCTTTTTTCAAGAAAGCTCAAAACAAACACTGCAGCCCAACCCCCCTTTGGTGCCTCTGCCCAGCCCTGCCAGTTAAAAAAAACAAACTCTTTTGGATATCAGATTGCAAAGTCCCATTAACTTCAGTGGTACTTACTCAGTAAGAGCAGGCTCAGGATAGCAGACTTACTTGTGTGTTTTCCAACGTTTTAAAAGATCATTATAATAAATTTACTTGGAATTGTGCTAAAAATCAGAGTGCACAAGGCAGCCAACAAAAAAAAAATGAGTTCATCATAGTAACAAAGAAATGAAGAATGTGGTAGCAAACAAGAACTGATCGAGTCCTGGGTTTACAAGTCTATTCAGTTATAATTAATATTGCATCATTTAGATCTCCCGATGGACATTGGGTAACTGCAATCCTGCCAGCAGTTTCCCACAGTATCTGGGCAGGACCCAAGTAAATGCAAGCACATTTCAAGTCCTAAGGAAACCAGTAGGAATGCCAAGCACATTCTTAACCCTTTCCCACTGGAATCCATGGAGCTTATTTTTTTTAAGGTGGATCCCGTTAGGATTTGTTTTGGCATTTTGTTGAACGAGGAAGCTGTTGTGGTTTGGGGGGGTCTACAAATTTGTGGCTTTTTCTTTTCAGCCTGTTTCTGTGAGTAGGTGACACCTCATTGCGGGATACTTTGCTGAAACTTGTTAGTCCTCAGCATTCTCAAATACCTCCTCCCCTGGCCAGGCTCTCTGCCTCGGGGACCACGTTGTCTTGGGTGCTGCTAGCACCTTCCATCAGTGACCGTCAACACAGCCCTGCAAAAGCATCAGGTTGAGTGACGGGATGGAGCACTGGTGCTTGGATGTGCATCTTCCAGCCACAGCATACAAGCATGCCTGTCTGCCATTCTGGCTATGGGGCAGGAAAAGCTGGCAGGTGTTGGGCAGTGGTCCATTAGGGCAAATGGGGGCACTACCCCACCCACCTCAGTTTGCCTTCAAGCAAGCCTTCACCTGCCTAGCATCTTACTTGCGACCAGTAAGGTTTGCCTGTCACTGACCCTGCCTCCATCTATTGCTTGTCTCCTTGCCTTCTGCCCTACAGTTCTAATGGTACCAGCCACCATTTTTGTGTTGTGTGGGCTTTTTCTGGGAGGGGGTGCAGTTTATCTCTGTATTGCAAAGGCTCTCTAGGTACCTCGGTCATACACCTGCCAAATGACATCTATCCTTCCTCCCAGTTCAGCAGCATGTATCTCCATTTGTAACAAAAGATTAAAAAAATTGTATAAAGTAAATTCAGTTTGTAATTATTGTCTGAATAAACTGTACTTGAATATACTAAAAACGATAATTTCATGGCAGACCATTTGGTGAAACTACGTGTTAAGTAAGGAGCACGAAAACTGCAATTCTACTTCTTTCAGAATTGCTGCTCTCATACATAAAAAGCAAAGGTAGTCATGTTTGTCCATAAGAAAACACTTCAAAGTTGGTCCAAACATTTATTAAAAGGTAAAGGGACCCCTGACCATTAGGTCCAGTCGTGGCCGACTCTGGGGTTGCGGCACTCATCTCGCTTTATTGGCCGAGGGAGCTGGCGTACAGCTTCCGGGTCATGTGGCCAGCATGACTGAGCCGCTTCTGGCGAGCCAGAGCAGCGCATGGAAACGCCGTTTACCTTCCCGCTGGAGCAGTACTTCTTATCTACTTGCACTTTGACATGCTTTCAAACTGCTAGGTTGGCATGAGCAGGGACCGAGCAACGGGAGCTCACCCCGTCGTGGGGATTCGAACCGCGACCTTCCGATCGGCAAGTCCGAGGCTCTGTGGTTTAACCCACAGCACCACCTGCGTCCCTAAACATTTATTAGGCCAATCAAAATGTAACAAAATTTGTGTTCTCCAGAACTATTTTGTGACATTAAAGGTATGACCCAATTGTGGATTTGGGAGTTCCATGCAGGCTTTAAAACAGGAAATTTCTTCATGAGCTAAGAGGAAAATCTTCCATACCATGAAATTCACTTGAAAGTGGGTTTTCATGAAACCACAGTAGATCTTGATGGAAAGTTTGCCAATATAGAACTTGGCCTTGAACAAACACAAAAGCAGGAAGATTGATGGTAATCTCTGGACTACAAAAGGGCCTCCCAAAGTAAATAAAAGTTTCTGTGTGTTCATGGGCAGCTGTTGCACTGCAGCTTTTGATTAAGAGAAAAATGACCTGGTAGATTTGTGTTTGGTTGTAAACCTATATCACCCGATACAATGCGTAAAACCCATTGAACAAGATGGGACTCGCTTCTTTGTAGGCACGCATTGGATTGCACGGTAAAAGAATCAGTGCAAATATTCAATAGAACTAATATTGTATATCACTTCCTGGGGTCCAAGTTCTCTCTGTTTTTCTCCTCCAGAGGGAGGAGCATTTTTGTTGCATTGATTTTCATCTGACTCTGAATCTGCTCTTTCTTGTACATAAGTATTTGGTTTTCATTTGAATTCATGCATTTGCACCTTCAACATTTTTTATGCCATGTACTGGAAAGACCTGGGGGAGTTGGGATATTGAAACTGGTGAGGTCTAGAATGATGAAGTGGCTGAGCTTATTTTAAAGCGACTGTGCTTTAAAATAAAGAAAATAAAAAGATTCCTGTGGTGATTTCTTGGAGGGTTAAAGTGGATTTGTGTTGGGTTTTTTAAAAGGTTGAAGTCAAATAGTGGACAGTATATGAAGTTCTAGGGCTGATCAACATATTTAAGTTTAATAAGCTACTGAGGTCCCTACATCTGTAGGTCTTTAAATACCTCAAATATCAAATGCAAAATATATAACTTATCACTAAAATGGAGACTGGAAAAAGCCAACATGATACAGGTTTTTTTAAAGGGGCTTGTACAATATTAGAACCCAGATAGCCCAATATCTGTTCTGGATAGACTGGTGTAAAGCATTGTTAAAGACAGACTTGCTAAGAACAAGGAAGTATCCATGTGGTTTCTGCAAAGGGAAGTCCTTCCTTGCCAACCTTTTGGAGGTATTGAGAGTGTAATCAATCCTATTCATGTGCTTGGTTTTTTCTCAAACCGAAAGCCTCCACAGAAAAGGTCTGTTTTTGTGTTGGCACCCCCTAAATCTCTTGTGGGGTAGGTACCTGAAGAAGGGCCTCAGATTATGATTTCAGGGTCTGGGTTGGTTCCTATGAGGAGAGGAGTGGTATTGTGGTCCAAAGGCTTAGTAAATATTTGATTGGATCCCAACTTGCCCTTCCATTTGCAGAAGAACTCCTGCCATTCAAGAAAAGGACTGGAATCCCTTCCCTGTTCTCCAGTAGCAGTTCCCAATGAGCAGAGCTCTACCCACAGAAACTTTGGATCCAACCCATTATTTAACTGTTTCCAGAAAGGTTTTTGACATGAGCCCCTTCATATGTTCAAAGAGTGTGTAGAGGAAGAAGTACCACTTTTCTTTCTGCCTCCAGTTCTAAGGGGGTGCCATCCTCCCCACCTCCAAGACAAAAATCCTAAGGGGAAGCCTATGTTTGCTAGGTTGTGAGTAGCCAGAAAAGAGACCATGATAAATAGCTGAATGGACATGTCGACTTGATGTGCGGTAATGATGTAAAAGGCAAATTCCATGCTAGGAATTGTTAGGAAAGAACCATTTCGTTTTCAAAAATTATAATGCCTTGATATAAATATGGTATTGCCTTCATATAAATCTATAGCACAGCTACATTTTGTAATGCAGAAAGGAGCAACCAGATTGCCCTCAGGCCCTGCATTTGAGCTTCCTCAGACATCTTATGGGCCACTGTGAGAACAGGATACTGGACTAGATGGGCCACTGGTCTGATCCAGCAGGCCTATTCTGATATTCTTAATTAGTGAGGTCAGACCATCTTCCTACCAGGACTGGTGAAATCATTTTGAGCCTTTTAGTTCAGGCAAGTGGTTACTGTGACTGTTCTTACAAGTGGACACATTGAGGCAAACTCAGTAATTTATAATAATATATTTGCTAAGGAGCCAGGCTCCAATCATGAATGGGGATGAGCTGGGATTTATAACTTTGGTAATGCCAAAGTGAATAATACAAAATTAGGAGGGAGAGAGGAGGATATGGCAATGTTGCTTTTTATTTAAAAAAAACAGCAACCATCTTATTTTGTTTTTTTCAGAAACGAGTATACAAAGATTCATGGAACCCCAGGGTGAGTAATATCTTTCTGCTTTAATTCTGCGAATGTTCATTTTTGACACGGACCATCTATAAAGCGTTGTTTTCCTATTTGCCTACTGTGTGCCTGTTTTGGCTGCTCTTGTTGGACACCAGAGGTGGTAAAATAGGGTACCTGCAGAAACAGGAACCTTGTGGCTGGTATGTTCTTGTGAGGTAGAAGTACAACTAGACTGCACTTTCATCTCCATGAGCCCTCAACATTTGCTGCAAAGGGTTGCAGATTGTTAACACGGGTTAACTATTCCATTGGGAGTTTAAATAATTTGGAATGAACATTACCAAGGTTTTCATCAAATGTTCTAGAAAAATCAATTGAATATTCATTTATTTTCTTTTTGCTTTATTGTTCAAATATTTGCTTTATTCAGATGTTGTTGTTTTGCTTTAGTATTTTTCCTAAACTGGGTTGCCTTCCCCAAATCATGTACAAAGTGAATCTTTCAACATAAAATATATGTGGAAAGTGGGGAATGAGAGTAGCAGCCCATTAAACAAGCATTCAGGATAGCCCTATAGACCCACAAAAGAAAAGGTAAATTCCAAATACAGTAGTACCTCAGGTTACAAACACTTCAGGTTACATACGCTTCAGGTTACATACGCTTCAGGTTACAGACTCCGCTAACCCAGAAATAGTGCTTCAGGTTAAGAACTTTGCTTCAGGATGAGAACAGAAATCTTGCTCCGGCGGCATGGCGGCAGCAGGATGCCCCATTAGCTAAAGTGGTGCTTCAGGTTAAGAACAGTTTCAGGCTAAGTACGGACCTCCGGAACGAATTAAGTACTTAGCCTCAGGTACCACTGTACCTTTTAGGATTGTGTTGAAATGATGTTAGTTCTTGTTGAACAATAAAGTGTATGCAGGATTCCAAGCTTTTAAAGATATACTGTATTTTTCGCTCTATAAGACGCACAAGACGCACCTAGTTTTTGGAGGAGGAAAACAAGAAAAAAAATATTCTGAATCTCAGAAGCCAGAACAGAAAGAGGGATCGCTGCGCAGTGAAAGCAGCAATCCCTCTTGCTATTCTGGCTTCTGTGATAGCTGCGCAGCCTGCATTCGCTCCATAAGACGCACACACATTTCCCCTTACTTTTTAGGAGGGAAAAAGTGAGTCTTATAGAGCAAAAAATACGGTATTTCCTGCCAGAGTTCTATGGCTGTAGAAACTGAAAGACAGGCAGAAATTCAGAAGGTGTACTGTTCCCCTCACTGTATTGCTGTGGTGGTAGAAGTTTTGCCTATTTAGTTTTCTTCTCCATGCATTTCAGCTGTTGAAGGGTGTGGGACCTATGACTCTCCAGCTGCTTTTAGACTCTGGAGGCCAATGCTCAGGGATTATGGGAGTTACAGGTTCCCCGCCCCTGTGTCAAAAGCACATAACCTCTGGCAGGAAAAGAAAGCAGCATCCCTAGTAAGTGAAAATAGCACTCCAAAGGGTATTACTTTTGGAAATTATACAATTTATATGATTCAGACCTAGGAAGCTGCCTTATACCAATTTAGACCATTGGTCTACCTAAAGCATTGACTGCTGACAGATCTCCATGATTTCAGACAGGGGCCTTCCCTAGCCCAATCTGTTTGCACATATTTTATACAAGTAGATATTCTGGTCGCATTCTGCAAGTGCTATACTTTTCAAGAGAGAAATCTCAGAATAGGGAATCTGGTAAATTCTCCACTTGAGAATTCTTATCAAGAGAGTAAGGTTGTATTCATTGGGTTTATGGAAATGTTGGTGTAGGAATATTGCCACTTACCTGGCAGGTACATTGGCTTGATGCATTGATGCTGTTTTTACCACCCAGCACAATGCAGCAACATCAGGAGGGTGGCTGCACCCCAATACATTGGCTTTTGTAAAATGATCTGGTGGTTGCCCGTTTTGTTTTGTCTTTTAAATAGAATTTGCCTAAAAGTAAAGCTGAATTAGTGGGACGTGGGTGGCGCTGTGGGTTAAACCACAAAGCCTAGGACTTGCCGATCAGAAGGTTGGCGGTTCGAATCCCCGCGACGGGGTGACTGGTCCTAATGGTCAGGGGTCCCTTTACCTTTACTTAAAGCTGAATTAAGGGACAAATCCTATACACTAGAAACTGCCATAGAGCAAACCTGGCATAAATTAAGCTGGCATAAAGTTCACCAGATCCAAACTTCATTCAGGAGCAGGGCAACAGCTGGTTGAGTTGGTCTAAGCCTGGCAAGGGGGAAACAAGCCTTTGAAAGGTTTCCAGGTCATGTGGTCAAGCTGAATGGACTTGGGATCTGGCCTAAATCTCTCCCCCACCCCCACTCTAGTCTTGCTCTCCACCACACTCCCAGAACACCCTTTTTTCAGGGCTTACATGGGTTTAAGATCCAGGATGGGGGAGATAGATTGGCATATCTGGCTGAACTGCAGATAAAGCAGTTGAGCCATCTTAGCCTGACGGTGCCAGGAACCTCCCATCTCAGCCAGAGTTCGTCTGAATCCTAACCCCACTAAATCCTGGAAGATCTTGCAAACAGGATTGATCCCTAAATAAGGAGTGAAACTCAAACAGTATAATGTCATGTTTTGCCTTTATGTTTTCTGCTCTCTGCATAAATGTAAATCATATATATATTTGCCAGTGTTCCAGAAGTGAGGCTTTGAAATGTCTTTCCATTCTTCCAACAGATAAATCTGCACCTGTCCCACCAGCTCCTGGGTACCCTGGTTCTGCTCCTGGGTACCCTGGAGCACAGCCACCTTATGGATACCCTCAGTACCCCCCTGGGCCTGGTCAGTATGCCCCAGGGCCTGGCCAATATCCCGCTGGTTTTCCAGGTAAGCAGTTATTATGCACGTAAACTTGTATTTTACATTGTTGTGACACTTCCCAACATCACTTGCACTGATGCTCTGTATGTAAATTCTATACATTAAAAAAGCATCTATATATTTATTCTAATGAATAAATTTCTATACCACCCTTCATATGAGGACCACAGGGCAGTTCACAATCAAAAGTACATGACATAACAGGCAAAACTATACCCTCCAGTTTAAAAGGCCATAGATTTGTTTAATAAGCCAAAGGCCTGGGAGAAGAGGGATGTTTTTGCTGTGCTCCTAAAGATATATCACAAAGGTGCGAGGCAAGCCTCCCAGGCAAGCACTCCACAAATGGAAAGACACCACACAAAAGGCCCGTTCCTGTGTTTCTACCCTCCAGACCTCTCGTGGAGGGGGACACCTCAGATGTTGATCATAGGGTCCAGGTCAGGACGCAAGGGAGAAACATGCTAAGAGGAAGGCACGCTTGGGAAATCCACACCGTGATCAACTCCCACCCGGAAACCAGTGTCCCCACTGTGGAAGGATGTGTGGATCCAGAATTGGCCTCTACAGTCACTTACGGACTCATTGTTAAAACCGTGTTTATGGAAGACAATCTTACTCAGCTACAAGTGATCGCCAGAGAAGAAGAAGATATGGGAAGAGGCGATCTTTGAAATATTGCAGTCCTGAGATGGCTTTATAGGTCAAAACCAGCACTATGAATTGGGCCCAGAAACTGTTTGGCAGTCAGGCCAGGGTTGGTGTTATGTGCTCAAACCGTCTTGCCCCAGAGAACAACTGACTATTGAATGCTGCACCAGCTGAAGTTTTTGAACCATCTTCAGAGGCAGCCCCTTGTATAATGTATTGCAGAAATCGAACCTAGAGGTGACCACAATATAGACCGCAGGTGTTAGGCTATCCCGGTCCAGATAAGGGCCAAAGCTGATGGGAAGCACTCTGCAACATCAAGGCCACCTGAGCATCAGGTGACAGCAATGGACCCAGAAGTACCTGCAAGCTAAGGACCTGCTCTTTCAGAGGGAGTATAACCCTATCAAGAGCAGGCCACCTTCCATGGATTTGGTTAAGGGAACCACCCACTAACAGTGCCTCATGAGCCTTGCCGATCAGAGGGTTGCGGTTCAAATCCCCGCTACAGTGTGAGCTCCGGTTGCTCTGTCCCAGCTCCTGCCAACCTAGCAGTTCGAAAGCACATCAAAGTGCAAGTAGATAAATAGGTACCAGTGCGGCAGGAAGGTAAATGGCATTTCCATGCACTCTGGCTTCCGTCACGTTGTCCCGTTGCTCCAGAAGCAGTTTAGTCATGCTAGCATGATGTGGAAAGCTGTCTGTGGACAAGCGCCGGCTCCCTCGGCCTGAAAGATGAGCGCCACAACCCCATAGTCGCCTTTGACTGGACTTAACCATCCAGGGGTCCTTTAGCTTTTTACCTTTACCTCTCGGCAAGTCATTACTGAGGCAGAACAACGATCCAGCACATCCACTGCCTCATCTGCAGATGTAACGGAGAAGCAAAGCTTGACCATAGAAATTTAGACCATTTGAGGAAAGGTCCATATTCTGTTCAGCTTCATGTTTTGGTCTCAGTTCAGGATTTCTTTTGGTGGACCTGTTCTGGGTCTCCATACAGTGTTACTACGTATGCATAAAATGAAACAGAAAGCATTTCTCCACCAGCAGAAAATATATTCTGCCCAAAGTCCTGTATTTGTAAGAAGCAAAATGTTCCTGTATTGAAATGAATCTAAATTATGGGCTCATTACGCTTTTGAATGGAAACTGGTGAGGGGTATGTTGGTTTGTGTTTGCCATGCATACAAAGCAACAGCAGGTGCTTTTTTAAAAAAAAGAAAGAGATTGTTCATCTATTTTCCCAGTCTGCATGTGCCCTGCAAATGCTCTGTGCAGGCTCTAGTAGTAGATCATTAGCTTCCTTGTGTTCAAGCTAATCCTAAAATCTGTGGACACACTTGATAACTATTCCCATTGAATTTACCTCTCTGGGGTAACCGCAAGACATTTTGGTGGTTGAAGCTGAAAATACAAATTGCTCTTATTAATATAGGACACAATCTGTATGGTTCTGTAGTTCTTTAACATCAGTCTCATCAAAGCAAGTGGGGTGGGCTGTTGCTGATTGTTCTAGATGTTCTATATTGTCAGAAAAGAGACTTTTGTTTTTAATTTTGAAACTATGATTGAATTAAAGGACAGCTCTTTTAATGCTGTAGCCTGTGTCCATTTCTTGCTTACGAAAATGCCCACAAAGGAGAACGCAAATGAATGGTAGAACCTCATGGCTTCTCAGATATTCTGCCAATACTTTACAGAGGGAGTGGAAAATCAGAAGCATATAAGAAAATCAGTTCTTGGGCATATAGAGTTGTAATGTTATCACCTGAAGTCTTTCAGTCTGTCCATACACCATGGCTGGCTATTTTTTTATTTATCTTCAGACTAATTTCTTCTTCTTCTTCTTCTTCTGCTGCTGCTGCTGCTTCTTCTTCTTCTTCTTCTTCTTCTTCTTCTTCTTCTTCTTCTTCTTCTTCTTCTCCTCCTCCTCCTCCTCCTCCTCCTCCTCCTCCTCCTCCTCCTCCTCGTCTTCCTCCTCCTCCTCCTCCTCCTTCTTCTTCTTCCCCTCAACTACATGGACTTTATGTTTGCTAACCTAATTTAATAAATCTAAAGCTGCTTTAATCCATTCAATGCTGTCTGAACATATTTCTTATTTGTTTGTTTGTGTGATTTGATTTACATACTGCCCTCCATCAGAATATTTCAGGTGGGTTCACATGGCTAAGTTGCAGAGTTCAGGCCCTGTGCAGCAGTGCTATTTAAGTAAGAACAGCAATAATAGCAGTGGGAGAGGTACTCTTTTGCCTCTAACAAAGCTCTTCCGAATCCCATTAATTCCGCTGGCACACTGCGTAATGCAAGATGATGTTAATGTGAATGATGGTCCCTTCTGATGCAGGCCTTTAAATTAAAACAATGAAAGGGATGTGTTTATCCCTTGGAACATGCGTGCATCCAGCTTACGCATCCGTTAGATCATTTGAACTTGAAAAGCCATGCTGGGAAGGCAGTACACAATTGCTTCCCTGATTGCAGTTGCAGAAAGGTCACCTTGTGCAAACCGAAGGATGATGCTCGTGGGGCGGGGTATGTTGGGCATGGGATGGGGCAAAGACTGCTGATTAGGCAGGGTTGTAAGGGCCACAGTTCAGCCATCAATTGCGTGTTTTGCTTGCACAAAGTCCATAGTCGAGGCACTTTTTGCTTTTAGATTGATTTTCATTTTAAACTTTAAGAAAGGTTTTGTGCCAGAGTGGATTTGATCTAAATCAAATTGATTTAAATCAAATTGATGTATTTCCTGCCTGTGTTGCTGTCCCTTCCCTTCTGTTAACACCTTCCTGCCCAGCATATGTTCCTGAAACCTGAGATCCATTGGGGGCATGCAGGAAGGTATCTGTTTACTCTGCCTCTCTCCCTCCTTCTATGTGTGTATGAAATACAAGTTTCTTTTTATAGACCAGATTTGCAGAAAAGTGCAGGGCTTGGTTGTTTCTTAAAAAGCTGTATCACTCCAAGCCCAGCAAGGATTTGGAGCATGGGCAGGCAGACTAAGGCCTGGGGGCCAGATCCGGCGCAGTCGCTTTCTCAATCCAGCCCATGGACAGTCTGGGAATCAGTGTGTTTTTACATGCATAGAATGTGTCCTTTTATTTAAAATGCATCTCTGGGTTATTTGTGGGGCATAGGAATTCGTTCTCCCCCCAAAATATATAAATATATATATATATAGTCTGGCCCCCACAAGGTCTGAGGGACGGTGGACCGGGCCCCTGCTGAAAAGGTTTGCTGACCCCTGATTTGGAGTAACTTTCATGAAAGGCTGCTGCTTCCTTTCCTCTCTTTTATTTTCCGTCCCACCTCCAGTACCAGCAAGGGCCAATTGTATTTAAATTTTCAATAATAATAATAATAATAATAATAATAATTTTGTATTATTTATACCCCGCCCATCTGGCTGGGTTTCCCCAGCCACTCTGGGCAGTTTCCAACAGAATATTAAAATACAATGACCTATTAAACATTAAAAGCTTCCCTAAACAGGGCTGCATTCAGATGTCTTCTAAAATTCTGGTAGTTGTTTTTCTCTTTGACATCTGGTGGGAGGGCATTCCACAGGGCGGCTGCCACTACGGAGAAGACCCTCTGCCTGGTTCCCTGTAACTTGGCTTCTCGCAGTAAGGGAACCGCCAGAAGGCCCTCGGTGCTGGACCTCAGTGTCCGGGCAGAACAATGGGGGTGGAGACGCTCCTTCAGGTATACTGGACCGAGGCCATTTAGGGCTTTAAAGGTCAGCACCAACACTTTGAATTGTGCTCGAAAACGTACTGGGAGCCAGTGTAGGTCTTTCAAGACCGGTGTTATATGGTCTCGGCAGCTGCTCGCAGTCACCAGTCTAGCTGCCACATTCCCCACATTAAATGGGGAGCGCCCTTTGTGTGGTCGCACGCAGCCCCCTGGACCCTATGCATCACCATTAGCACAGGCTTGGCTTTGCCTTCCCCAGTTGGGATACCTGGAGGTCTCCGCCTACCTCAGCCAGTTACCCAATCGCGCCTGGGGAGGCGTTGCCAAGGTGATCAGGCCAAGGTAGGGGGTGGGACCACCCTGCGACACAATAAGGGGAGGATCTTACCTGGGAATCATCAGTTAGCTCCAGAGCTTCTCCCACCCTACCCACCCTCAGTTAAGACTTCTTTTGCAGGTTAACCTTTTCTTCACAGGTACGCGGGGCGCTGCTACGTCAAGGTCGCTGTTGAAGGGCCGGAAAGGAATTCTCCTGCATTGGCAGGTTTGCCTTTCCCGTAGCAAAACGTCACAACTTTGGCGGTATCAGGCCTTGGGCGGAATCCTTTAGTCTATCTTCCCTAAATGGGGGTGGGCGTGTAGCAGTGACCCACGCACCCTTCTCTTTGTGGTGGCGATCCCAGGGTTCCCCGTTAAAGGGGTTGTTTTGAGGGAAGGCTTTGGCCATATGCCTAGAGGTTGTCATTGCTCTCCCCTGTGACGGGGGCATAACGGGGGCGGGCTCTCTCTGCTTGAACATATGTTCTCCAGAACCAGCCCATTCCCCCCCACACACTCTAGATAACCCTGATGTTCCCCAGATCCCCGGCAGGGGACTAGGAGGGATAAACACCCAATGTCTGAGCCAAGGTCTACCCACATGTGAAACATAATAAAGTTGTGACCAATTCTTAATCCCATAGCACGTTGTCTTGAGTCGTTATTCCACACGGAGTCCACCCAGGTTTGGGGGACTCTGACTGTCCATGCAATAAAGCACAGCTGGCTTGTGTGAATGCTGTTCTGTGCAAAAGAGCTGTTCTAAAAACATAAGATACCACAAATGTGCCTTCAACAACAAATGGCGGGACCAGAGCATTGCAGGACTACCTGCTTTCAGACTGCTTCTGAGTCTTGCTTCTGAGTAGACACCTACTCACAGAACTGTGAGTCCGGTATGCCCCAATATGTGGCTCTTGCCAGGAAAAAAAATGCATTGCATTGCCAATGGTGCAATCGCATGCACATGTTTTCTAATTTCTGTGTAATGCTGCAGAGGGAGAGCATTTTCTTTTACTTGTTTGTTATATTCACACCCTACGTTTTCATTTAAAAAATGCCATGGTTGGAATTTAATGTAAATTATTGAACCAAATCTGTTAGTGTAGGGGTTTGTTTTTTTTAAAGATTTGTATAATACAAAAGGTAAAAATTGTCATTTTGCATTCCCCTTCCAAGGTGCTCCTGGACAGCCACCCTACGGATTCCAGCCTGTTCAGCAAGCTTATGGAGTTCCCCCAGTTGCAGGCCAGCCCAATGGACCTCCTGGTGCTATGTGGATGCCAGCGCCACCTTCAATTCCCAATTGCCCTCCTGGATTGGAATATTTAAGCCAGGTACTTCTCTTTATGTCCAGCTTCTTCAGGAAAGCATACAAGTAATACTTCAGTGATGCTACACGATTTTTTCTCCCCCATAGATCCAATCGCATGTAGGGAGATGCGAAAGCATTTGGGAACCATTTAATAACCATTGAAATTGCTCCTAAATGTTGAAATATATATTCAAAGAGGTACAAAGGGGCATTTTTTCCTAACTGGGGCTGGTATTTGCCACTGCCATCGCTCGTCACCCGAAGAATCAGCAGTTTGCAAAAATGAAACTTGAGACTCAAAAGGTACACATACTTCACATGTGTGCAGCCACGTGTACATCTCTCCCCCTCACGTACACACATTTCTCTCACACAGACCACACACACGTGCAAAACTCCCCACACTCTCGCTCGCACATGTACCCCGTTCTTCTCTTCCCAAGTGTATCTCTCCCTCTGTCCCTCCCTTCTTGCCCATATGCATTTTTCTCCATTGCACATGCATGGAGCATGCTCGAGCAGCTCCCACAGATTCAGAAAAGCCCCTCCACGGGTGAAGGAAGCCCCTTCCAAACAAACAACAACAAAACCCCACAAAAATCAGTTGTTCAGAAATTAAGTCCCCCAAAATACAAGGGCCACCAGCCCTGATTTAGAGACTTTTCACCATATGGAGGGTTACCTGACCACATGAAGGGGCTTATGAATTCCATTTGCTGATTTGTGAAATTTCTTAGCAGCATTATATTTGCTCTATAACTATAAGCAACTGTAGTTACTTTCCAGATCTAAATTTTGACACATTTGCCAGGAAGCAAATTATATTGATTGGTTTTTGCTTTTCTTCATTGAAGAGGATTCTAAATTTATGTGTTTCAAAATGCAAGGAATACCTAAAACAGCAGTCCCTCGGGTTTTGTGAATAATGTAAACAGGTTGCAAGATAATTACTTGTGTAATTTTATTATTATTTGCCAGTTTTAACATGTTGGGTTTTTTTAATCCCTGTCATAGATTGATCAGATATTAGTTCATCAGCAGATTGAGCTCCTGGAAGGTACGTATCTTATGCTACTTAATATTGTTCATGCATTGAAAGATATTTCAGATAATTATGCCTCAACTGAAGTTGATATTCAGTGTGTTTACTACAGGGTGAGGATTGGATGGTTGGACTTTATTTTATGGTGTTGCTGGAGAAACACCTGTTTTTAAAAATATGTGACTTATGAAATTCAATTTGTAATTAACCAAACATACATGTATATAAAAGAGAATGTGATTTATAGCCAATTAGGATTCATAGAATTGTAGAGTTAAAAGGGATCCCCAGGGTCATCTAATCTAATGCAGGAATCACAGCTAAAGAATTCCTGATTGCTTTGGTGGTTATATGTATCAAGGTATAGTTCTGACAGGGAACAGTTTACTGCAGGGGTGGCTAACCTGTGCCCTTCCTGCAAGATGTTGTTGGATTCCAATTCCCACCAGACCCAGCGTGACCAGTAGTAGTAGTAGTAGTAGTAGTAGTAATAATAATAATAATAATAATAATAATAATAATAATAATTTATTATTTATACCCTGCCCATCTGGCTGGGTTTCCCCAGCCACTCTGGGCGGCTTCCAACCAAATATTAAAAACAACACAGTGTCAGGCATTAAAAATTTCCCTAAACAGGGCTGCCTTCAGTTGTCTTTTAAAAGTAAAATAGTTGTTTATTTCCTTGACATCTGATGGGAGGGCGTTCCACAGGACAGGCACCACTACTGAGAAGGCCCTCTGCCTGGTTCCCTGTAACCTCACTTCTCACAGCGAGGGAACCACCAGAAGGCCCTCAGCGCTGGACCTCAGTGTCCGGGCTGGATGATAGGGGTGGAGATGCTCCTTCAGGTATACAGGACCGAGACAGTTTAGGGCTTTAAAGGCACTTTGAATTGTGCTCAGAAACGTCAGTAAGTTATGGGACTTGCAGTCCAGCAACATCTGCAGAGCCCTAAGTTCCCCATCCCTGGCTTATGCTACACAGAAATAGCCAACAGTGTGGTTTTTGAGGGCTGGGGGTGGGAATAACTATTGCTTTCATGTCAGTCCCTTTCTGTTAAAGACTTAAGTCCACACCAATACACGTTTCACACTTGATTTGTTCAAATGGACAAAAAATTCATTGTTTTAAGATCTCCTCAGGCATTACAAGAATGAGGAAGTTACCACATAGGAGATTGAGCAGTGGGGAGTGCCCAGGAAACCTCTGTGACTCTGGGTGGCATCCTGCTTCACTTAGAGAAGCTGTTTACACAGGCCTGGCTGACCATACTGTTTAGCCAGGACCAGTGGATGCACCTCTGCTCCCTCTTCCCAGTACTGCATTCACTGAATCTGAATAAGTCTTGTAAACTAAGCTTTTGTGTCTTCAGGGGTGGGAAAATCACAGGATCTTCTTGAGGGCCAAAGTGGTGACATGCAGCTGTCATCACACAGGACTGCTTTGCATCCAGTAGAAGTGGTATCTTTGTAATCCTGGTAGAACTTGCCTAATGTTGTGACATTATGAAGTTCTTCAGGTTTTTCCTGCCCCACAACATGGGGCTGGAATTGGGAAGGGGGCCGTAGCTCAGCGGGGAATGCATTTGGATCAAAAGAACTGGACTTCTCTTCCTTCTCTTTCAGTACTCACTGGCTTTGAAACAGCCAACAAATATGAAATAAAAAATGCAATGGGGCAAAGGGTGTACTTTGCAGCCGAGGAAAATGACTGCTGTACACTGAACTGCTGTGGAACATCCCGGCCATTTACAATGAAAATCCTTGACAATGTGGGTCAGGAAGTCATTGAGCTCAGGCGACCTCTCAGGTGCTCCAGTTGTTGCTGTCCTTGCTGTTTGCAAGAGGTAAATGGCTTCTTGCTCCTTGAGTCCTTTAGCTTGTCTCAGTTTAAAACCACCAAGATGTGGATATTTATTTGGGGTGCTTTCTCATTTCTCTGACCGTGTGAGATGCCCCTCCTTAAATTCTTACACTGGCTTCCTGTCCAGCTCTAATTTCCTCAGGTGAGAAGAAGATCCCTGCTGGTTCAGGCCAGTAGCTCATCCTGCTCTCACAGTGGCCAGCCAGGTGACCATGGAAAGCCCCAAATCCAAGACCTGAGTGCAACATTTGAAATCCCCAGCAACTGGAATTCAGAGGCAAAGGGCGTCTGACAGCCATTGCCACTATTAGCCGCTGATAGCCCTTCTCCTCCATGAATTTGTCCAATCCTCTTTTAATGTCTTCAAAGTTGGTAGTTAGTGATACACTGTGAGAAGGAAGTGCTTTCTTAAGTTCTCACCCTTATTATTAGTTGCATTTGTTGGTTGCTTTGTACAAAAAACAACAACGTGTGGAAGTAACTCAACAAATATAAAATGAACAGATGAAATAACTTAAAACCCATAAAATTTAAAAAGTCATGTACCTTTGAGGCTAACTTAACCACTAAAAACTTGGGTTAATAAAAAATGTCTTTGCCTGGCACCAGGAAACTATGGGGCCAGACATATTGTCCTGGGGAGAGGATTCCACATATGGCAGGGTTTGGGGGTGGGAGGGAGGAGACACTACTGAAAAAGGCCATGCTCCTATAGTCACCCTTGGATGACACAGAGAGAGAAGGGCCTCTAATGAAGGCTGCAGGGTTTGGGGTGGTTTTTATGGGGAGAGGGGTTCCTTGAGGTACTGGGGTTCCTGAGCAACATAAGCCTTTGTTACGTTAAAACCAACTCTTTGAACGGAGCCCAAACATTAATTGGTAGCCAATACAGTTGCTTTGCTTGAACATGTCTTTGCCACAGATTTTGCGACTTGGCTTAAAAAAACTGAAGCACCTCCTTCTGACTCAGCTCTGTTTGTTCCTTGTTTTTTTTAGCTGGAAGTTCATGCCCCACCAGGCACACCGGTTGGTTATATTAAACAGCTCTGGGATCCCTGTCTACCTAAATTTGCTATCCAAAATGAAGCCCAAGAAGAAATACTGAGAGTCGTCGGGCCCTGCATAGTATGCAGCTGCTGTGAAGATATTAACTTTGAGGCAAGTTAACAATAGGACCGTGTCCTGTGAAATTTTATCACGTTGGCCAGGGGCCTGCATCATGGCACAGCCATCGTGTCTACTTGTTGTTTAGCATTGGGAGAAATCTAGTAATCTGTAATCTGGTGTTGCCAGTTCATGGAGAAGCAAGTTAACCTGTAGTGTTAACTTGTTTTCTGTATTTTTTACCCTGAGGCTGTAGAGAAGTGGCCTCCACCATTGGCTGGGAGACCAAAAAAACAAAAACACTGGGAGGCTGCACACTCTGTCTCCCTTCAACAAGTTATATAAAATGTTGACATTAGCCTCATGCCTTTTAAATACTTTGCAAATGTGAAGATTTAAAATGTCTTAAGTTTCCAATTATAATGATCTCTTTTTTAAAAACAACAACTAGGTCAAGTCAAAAGATGAGAAAAACAACGTTGGAAGAATTTCCAAGCAGTGGACTGGCTTTGTGAGGGAGGCCTTTACAGATGCAGACAACTTTGGAATCCAGTTCCCACAAGACCTCGATGTTAAAATGAAAGCCGTCATGATTGGGGCTTGCTTCCTCATAGTGAGTCTGATAGTCTCAAATGTTGTGCCATTGGGAATTTTGGAGTCTAATTTAATGGACTTTATATGTATGCTCCTTACAGGGCACTTTGAGTCCTGTAGGACTTTCTGGTTCCTTTTGGCTGATAAGGACAGTCATGTAAAGTTCCCAAGTGCCTTGTGTTAATTAAAGAGCTGCAGACATTTGCTGGCGCTTCTTGGAATGATTATTGGCAATTTTAGCTTTGGCGCAAGTCATTGCTTTCATTGCTGCAGCACTGAGTGGCATGCATCCAGGAGGTAGATGGAGGAAGGAAAGCCATGCTAAATCAAATTAAATATTTAAGGTGATGAAATCTACCAGATTGTTCAATCTACTCAGGTCACTTCCAGGTTGTTGCATTTTTCAGGTGGGATTCAGTCACATACTGGCAGATTTGGGTTGTGCAATTAAAGTAGATTTGGAGTTATTGCACAACAAACCTGCTCCCCCCCCCCTCAAAAAAAAAGTTTGTCTCCCTGTGAACAAATCAGGATGAATGCCAAACAGACAGGTTGTCTGGAAGCAACCGAAATTGCAGCTTAATGACACAGTGCCAGTTTTTACAAACATGGAAGCAGGAAAATGATGAACATAAAAGAGCCCAGTTGGATCAGACCAAAGGTCTAACTTGCCCAGGTTTATGTTCTCACCTATGTGAAGCCCATAAGCAGCACATGAGTGCAATAGCATTGTCTCTCATTTATATTCCCCCGTGGCTAGTATTTGGGATCTCTTTGATCCTGGAGGTAATAAAGGTCTATCTTGATTAGTAACCATTCCTTCTAATGACTTTCCTCATTAAAATGGCATTGGTTTTCAAAAACTTCTGTAAAATGGAATAAGTAGAAAAGTATCTGAATATTGGTTTGCAGTTGCCTAACTGCTGTCTGTTTTGTTTGGTCTCTGTCCCCTCCCCCCCTCCTTTGTAGGATTTCATGTTTTTCGAACACTCTGGACAAAATCGGCAGCAGCGAGCTGGGGTCTGGTAGCAGAGCAGATTTCTGGATTATAAATACTTCTGAGAAAGCCTTCATCCTCATGTCACTTCTAGTCTTGCCTCGCTATCATTGTCAAGCCTGCTTTGAAGGATTCCCCCACCACACACACACACATTAAAACTACTTATTTTTGTATTGTGATTGCAGCTTTCACACCTATGTTGGAATAGTCCCATTTATTAGAGGCTGCTCAATTCTTGAAATATATACTGATTTTATTTTTTTAGTTTTTGATATATATATATATATATAAAATATATACTTTTGGTGCGAGATCCTTCTTTGTGTATGTGCCAGTGCTCAGAGAGTAAACTGCATTTTGTGTGAAGAAAGGGGCAGTATCTGTAACTTGTGGCTATTAATTAAGGCAGGGATTCATATCTGTTCTTTGTATGTAGGGCTAATATACTGCTAAACTTTTGTTTTGTTTTGAGCCAAGAATACTGGACTGCAACTCCCATCATCCCTGACCAATGGTCATGCTGACTGGTGCTCTTGGGAGTTGTGAATCCACAACATCTGGAGGGTTTCCATCCCTTCCCTAGTAACTAAGGAGCTGATGCCATACCTCCCAAGTGCCTGGGGTTTTCCCTGCTGATGTTCGGTGTTCCCAGTGCAAATGCAAACATTTTATGTATTGCTTCTATAATCTCCAGTCCAAGATTGGGACTCATGAACCTGCATCTGGAAATTTAGATGCAGCACCCACGAACCAGTGCCTGGAACTTAAACGCATGCCTTGCTCCCACAACTTGTATATTTGCTGTAGAAAACACCAAAGCCTTCACTCAGCAGTCATAACATATAGTGCTGCCAACATGAGTTACTGAGGGAAATGGGGGCGTGAAGGAAAGATGGATTTACCAATCAGAGGGTGCTATTTAACCAAGTCACACTTGGAACAGACCCAGCAAAATCATTCACCTTACGTTATGACTGTTGTTGAATATCAATCAGAATGTATGTAAGAAACTGTATTAAGTGGTCCAATGTTTTAGGGGTAGCAAATAGCTCCTTCCAAAAACAAACTCTTGCTATGTTATGGTGCCTATATAGCCAAAGAGGGGCTACGAAAGGAGAAGAGAGGGAGATATTAAAGGTTTGCAGATATAGAAAAAATCATGAGGGGGGGGGAATACCCTAAGAGAACCCCCCCCCATTTGATTTCTTTTTTTAAAAAGCACTATGCTCTGTAGTCAGAAAATGCCAAGTGCCTGTATGGGGGGGGGGGGTGAAAGAATTATCCTGACAAAAGGCAAAGCTATATGGCTGGAGCACTCAATACTGCAACAATTGGTTGCAGATTGTACCTCACACAGAAATAGATGATGCTGTTGTATTTTTGACTGAATTTCGAAAAGGAAAGGAAAAAAATGTGTTAGCCTTTATATGTATGTGTGAAAAATTAAATTATAAAGACACATAAAAATGAATCTGGCTTTTTGTACTTCTTCTTTTTTAAGTCAGTTTCTGAGGAGTTGTGTCCTGTTTGTGGGCTTCCCCTAGGCATTTGGCTGGCCACTGCCAGATCAAGAGGCTGGACTATTTGAACCTTTGGCCAGATGCAGCAGGTCTTTCTTAAATTCTCAGGGGTTAACCACTGAGATCCTTCCAGGAAACCACCGAAAAAATGTGCAATAACTTCCCATAACTGTCATGGTCTGCGGTTGAAGTACACGCAAATACTCAGGTGTGTGTGCAGAAGGGATTAATTTCTGCAGGCGCTCAGGCAAGAGCCTCTTGGCCATCAGCCCTGACAACATCGACGTGCCCTTAAGCAAGCAAGAGAGGTCGCTTCCCTCATCACTGAGCAACTGCCCACAGCCCACCCTGGGAAGAAGGGGCATTAAAGCGGGCCCCAAATCCCCGGTGTCCTAATTTTAGACGCCTGACGACCGCTTTGAAAGATGTGTCGGGAAATGGATTAAACTGGACGAGAGGCAAGGGGAGAAATCGAGCCAGCAGAGGGCGCAGGGGCGGCCCTTCCTTGCTTCGTCCGTGCTGCCCCGAGCTTGGCTGTCTTTTATCTCTGGCTGTTGTTTTCCATCCGGCTATTGTCCTTCTGGCTGTCGTCCTTCACGATCCGCTCCTTTCCTCCCCTTCCCATGCCGTGCAGAGCAAGGGCGGCTCTCTACACAACTTCCCCCGATTGTCTTTCCAGCCTGCGAAACTCCAGCGGATTCCGCCCCCAAGAAGGAGAAACTGAGAGAAGCGGGCAAGACGGTGCGAAGGGGCTCTTCGTGTCTTTTAACTCGCTGGCGGGCATCTTTTCTGGCTGCCAGCTGCAAGTTCGCTCCTCCCAGAAAGTTGGGGAGGAGACACTGGGTGCAAAGCAGGAACCTCTTCGTATTACACAGAGAGCGGATCGGCCCCCTTCCCACCCCCTTGCAAGACTGGCAAGGAAAACGAGGAGAGCCGACTGACGAAGCTCTCCCGTTTCCTTGCATGGTGGGATGCTATTTTATAGATAGATAGATAGATAGATAGATAGATAGATAGATAGATAGATAGATAGATAGATATAAAATTAAATTTTCATTTTTATCCTTTGTCACATTCATATCGAATCATATCCTCACATAATAATAATAATAATAATTTATTTTTATCCCGCCCTCCCCTCCCCAGCCAAAACCGGGCTCAGGGCAGCTGACACCAGGTAAAAACAATTGATTAAAATACAACTTAAAAACAATATTAAGTCCAACATTAAAATGCAGCCTCTTTTCAGTAGAAACTCAAATCAAAAACTTGTTGGGGATGAAAACGTCAAATCTTCACCAAGGCCAACTATCCAGACTGGTTCTACCTGGGCCAGAAAAAAGCCAGGGAAGTCCCCAACTTTACTCATACCAAGCATCGACTCCCCGTCCTCCCTGGCTTTCTTAAGTAATCACAACCATCTTAGCATTTCTATATTGCCCTATTTACCTTCTTTCGATATTTCGTAAAATTTACTTTAGTATTTGTAAAGCAATTTCCAAAATTAGCATTGCAAAATATTTAAGTCAAACCTGCGGATGTTTTCAAACGTTTGAAATGTTCTTTCATGTATTGTATAAATTTACTTCAGTCCTTCTCAAAACAGTTCTTCACACTGGTTTCCGATTTTCCCTGTCAGCTTTGCCACTTCTGCATATTCAATCATTTTTGCCTGCCATTGTTCCAAAGTTGGAAGTTCCTGCTGCTTCCATTTCTGGGCTAAAAGTGTCCTTGCAGCTGTAGTGGCATACATAAACATGTTTATACCTGCTTTTGGAATTTCCTCTCCTATAATACCCAATAAGAAAGCCTCTGGGTTTTTTTTAATAAATGTATTTTTTTAAATCCTTTTCAATTTATTGTATATCATATCCCAGTAGGCTTTGACTGTCCACCAAATATGGAAGAAATTCCCTTCCTTCTCCTTGCGTTTTCAACGTGCCTTATCTTGAGTTCTATACATTTTAGAAAGTTTAGTCGGCGTCAAATACCATCTATATATCATCTTCATTAAATTTTCCTTAAGTGCCATATATGCAGTAAATTTAATTGTTTTTGTCCATAATCTTTCCCATGTATCAGATTCAATATTATGACCAAGATCTTGAGCCCATTTAATCATAACCAACTTAACTTCTTCATCGTTTGTATACCATTCAAATAATAACTTATATATTTTTGACAAAACTTTACTGGATGCTTTTGAGACGTTCGTTGTAAAGCACGGCTCTTCCGTTTTGAGGACAGGGTGGAAACGGCAGCTCAGAAGGACCACCATAGTTCTGGTTTCTTTCATAGTAAAGGTAAAGGGACCCCTGACCATTAGGTCCAGTCGTGGCCGACTCTGGGGTTGCAGCGCTTATCTTACTGTATTGGCCGAGGGAGCCAGCTTCTGGGTCATGTGGCCAGCATGAGCGAACCAGAGCAGTGCACGGAAATGCCGTTTACCTTCCCGCCGGAGCGGTACCTATTTATCTACTTGCACTTTGACGTGCTTTTGAACTTCTAGGTTGGCAGGAGCAGGGACCGAGCAACAGGAGCTCACCCCGTTGCGGGGGTTCGAACCGCCGACCTTCTGATCGGCAAGTCCTAGGCTCTGTGGTTTAACCCACAGCCCCACCTGCATCCTGGTTTCTTTCACAGGCTTTCACGACAACAACATTGGCTTGGCTCCTGAAGTAAATTCACCTCAGGAAGCTCGTGGAAGGAAAGTTCTCCTTTCCTCCTGCTGCCCTTCCTGCTTTTCATATTTAGTTTCACATGCTTTTTGGAAGGTCTCCCCGCCCCCCCTCACTACGCTTTGAGACACTTTGATATAAAGCGTGACAAATAAATAGATATTAATAGTAATAAAATAACAATGACCCCTGCACTGGTGTCCTATCCCAGTTGCTTAGGAGGGCCCCCAACGCGCCCCAGAGACTTCTGGGAGGCCTGAGAGAGGCACTTCGGGGAGCGGAGAGGAAGCTTCCTGTCCATGAACTTCCTTGAGGTGAGTTATATCAGGATCCAAGCCAGTTGCTTTTCTTTGAGAGATACTGTAAAGCAGGGACGTCCAACAGGTAGATCATGATCTACTGGTAGATCGTGAGGGGTACGTGGTAGATCGTGGAACACACACCCCACCCCAAACTTTTGGGGGGAAAAGAAAAGAAAAGCTCAACAACTTTGGCTTCCTAAAAAAACCCAACTTTGGTAGATCACTGCCAGTTATTTTATAGTGGGAGTAGATCTCAGTCTCTTGAAAGTTGGACATGCCTGCTGTATAGCAAAACAAAACAAGGCAGCCTGCTTTGTTTGCTCTGAGGGCATTGGCTTTGAACAGAAAAGCTAAGAAGGAAAGGATTAAACACACACAAATCGCTGAAATCTATGGCAGCTGTTGAGTCACAATAAAGCCTTTCCATGGGATGTGTGCAGACTGATCCTTCTTTCAGAGGAAGGGTAGGTAGAATGGAAATTATATGTTTATGTGTGTGGAGAGTGAGAGAGAGTGCTGGAAGCAGCTCAGATGGACGGGGTGTAAGTAATAAAAAGATTAAAATTATATATATATTTTAATATTAGCTCAGATGTAGGGCTCATTTGAGTGGCTCAAACCTAAGTACTGTGTGTGTGTGTGTGTGTGTGTGTGTGTGTGTGTGTGTAAGAGCCACCTTCTCTATATGCTGCTGGACTACAATTCCTAGGATTTTTCCTGATACAAAATGGAAAAATATATAGCTGGTTGTAGATAAATGCAGGAACAATATAGTACAGTTGTACCTTGGTTGACGAACAGAATGCTTTCCGGAAACGACTCCCGGAACCATTCTAAAACCAAGGCACAGCTTCCAATTGGCTGCAGGAGGTTCCTGCAGCCAATCAGAAGCTGCGTAAGCCTCGCTGGACATTTGGCTTCCAAAAATCGTTCAAAAACTGGAACGCTCACTTTCGGTTTTCGATTGTTCGGGAGCCAAAATGTTCGGCAACTAAGCCGTTCGTCAACCAAGGTATGACTGTACTTAATATTGTTTTCTCAGAGGGCTGATAGCATCATTGTGGGGAGGGACTATTTTGGAATGGAAACATTTCTCTTCATGAGAGTTGGGATTGAACTGAACACAAAAGCTGCCTTGGTCCTTCCAGCTCAATAAGATCTGCATCGGGGATCCACATCCACCAAATGTTTCTGCACTACAGGCCCCATCATCCCTGCCCATTGGTCATGCTGGCTGGGGCTGACCAGAGCTGGAAGCAACAACACATGGAGAACTACAGTTTTTTCCACCTTTACCCAGGCCTTTGCCACCTGATACCCCCCCCCCGACCTACCCTATTTCTGTGGCTTTAACATGTTTTAAACTGATTTTAATATTGAGTTTTAAATTGCTGTAACCCACTCTGGGACACAAATGTGACAGGTGAGTATGTAAACAATTGAATTGATGATGATAAATCCTTAGTATAGGGTTGCAGACTTTTTGATGAGGACTGGGGCCCTTATGTTTTCCCCGTGGCTCTGGATGAGGACTTTGGTACTGATGTTTCATAGTAGACCTATTAGCTAGCAAAGATATTTAAACCATTGGTCAATAAAACTTCTTAACATGGAGCAAGGTGGTACAAGTGTTGCTGCCTTTATATTAAACAGTGTATTTTATATGGAGCAGCTTTCCATGCACTAATAAGTACTGCTGCACTGTCTGAATCTTACAAATGCATGGGTGCATTAGTATTGTGGAGTGGGTTCACTTTTGGCACCCTTGAGCAGCTGCCATGGTAGGTAATGACTCACCTGATCCATCCTTTAGAAAAGCTTCCAGCCAAACACTACAAGCACCACCTGGAAGATGGGTTTACCTGCCCGTTAAATTCCCCACCATGTTTGTGGTGTAAATGGGCATTGTTGTCTTGGAAGATGTTTAGTAGGGCCAATTCTGGGGTGATTTCTAATACTTGCTTAGATATTTTAC